GTTCCTACGGGAAAGTAACGGTAATCTAATTACCGTTTTTGCAATAGTAATCCCTTACTTTACTCGTTACTTTCAATATCTATCAATTTCAAAATAGTCTTGTACACATTTAAGGCTATTCATCATCTCTCCCCATATCGCTCTGATCTGGTTAAGATCACCGCCCCATCTCGGTGTCTCAGATCTTCTTCTTCCCTTTCACTCTCCCCCCTCTCCCCCCGTCTTGCCACCATGAGGAACCGGGCCTTCAGCTGCTCTGCTCCACGACTCTGGAATTCCCGACCTCCTGATTTAAGAAACATCTCTTCCTTCTCTCTCTTTAAGTCCCAACTCAAAACTTACTTGTTCAAAATAGCTTATCCCACATAACCTCTCCACTCTGCTATTTTAAATTTGTTTATGTCTTATGCTTTTATGTTGCTTTTTATTCTACTGTGTACAGTGACCTTGAGTGTTTTGAAAGGCGCTTTCAAATAAAATGTATTATTATCATTATTATTATCATTATCCTTATTATCATTATTATCATTATCATTATCATCATTATCATCATTATCATTATCATCATTATCATCATTATCATTATCATCATTATCATTATCATTATCATCATTATTATTATTAAACTAAACTGGGGATTATAGATTACATAGTATTAGTACACTGTGGTGTTATCTTTCACACTTTATGTGGCTAGCTTGGTGCAGGCAGCACCAATGAATCAGCTGCTAATATACGAGGCACACTTGGAAACCCTAACAGTCCAGGACAGTCCTGATCCTGAGAAGGGACCGGACCCATCCATCTGCTGGCCAATAACTTGCCTCAGTAACACACGGGGCCTCCTGTCCAGCATCAGAGCGACAAACATGAACAGGCAGCTCGCTTACTAACACGCTGTCTATCTGCTGATTCCAGGTCTCTCTGTAGCTCTCCACAAGTAGTCACTGACTCTTGGACAACTCTTCTCACATTTCATTTCACCCCTCTGTCTGGAATCTTGTCGTGGACGGTTTATGTGCTCACTCGAGCCTTCAGTAGTTTGGAAATTCTCAATGACATCAGTACGTTTCCCAACAATAAGGTTGCAAAGGTGTTGAGAAAGCTCCCTGGGGTTAAACATCGAGAGGTTTCCTGTGTGACACCTGCTTATGAATGAATCAGCTGGTATTAATATTGACATCGTGGCAGTGCTGTCTTCTAATTACTGACAGGTGGCAGCTGTCAGGCTTCAGTGTCCTAACTTTCCATG